ACATGTCAAGCGGAAACCTATAGAGAACCTTGTTGCCAGACAACCTAGGTCTTGAAAAGGATACTGCATCTGTGTGGAGAGCTATTAGTCTACGTTTATATTCATTGTTATCAATTTTACAGCTTGTAAGAATTTAGAAAAAGCTAGCAGCAAAATCATTAGAATGCAATTAAAAGTGTGTTTTTCAAATATATATGCAAGCAAACTTAGATTAAGTCTTTTAAGAAATTATTTAGGAAAATACTATATTAGTTCATCAGTTTTGTTAGAACTTGAACAAGCTTTTGCGAACCTAATATATAAAAATTACCGTTAAGTTATAATATCAACTAATATCAATATATTAAATATTATAACCTAATGTTGAAATTTATTTTTATTAAAAATGCCGGCAAATGACTAATATTAATCACATTATAATACTGTATATTTAGCAATATTATTACAAATATTTTCTAATGTCATAATAATTCATAATCATAATTTTCTAGAATTTCATATCAAAATTATTTCTTTACGAAATAATCATACAGAATTGACTATAAATTAAATAAAATATATTCAAATATATACAGAGAGGAATGAATTCCTTTCGTCGCTGTGAAAATCATTGTTAAGCCCTGATATCACTATCACGTTTCTTTGAAAGAAGCTTCCAAAGCAGCACATGATAACATGGGAAAATACAACGTGTTTTTGTTAGCTTCAAAATTACTCCACTAATAAGACAACTGCAATTATCTAATAACAAAATTAATCACATTTTTTAAAAGTATTTTACCTTAATTTAAAAAAATTTACAAACAAACTCAACTGAACGTAACTCGATACAGTGTACAACTCAAAACAATCATTTGCGTTTAAGTTGATAATTTTAGTGTGAAGAATGCGTTACGAGAAACAGAATAAAAATAAATGATAATTATGTCAGGGGTTCTTAAACGTTAATATTTATTGAAAACGCAAAAATGTAGTTTAAATACTTCTTAGATTGAATGGATTAAATTAATTGAATCACTTTTAAACTTTTTTTTTGACAATGACGTTAAAATTTATTTCTATAGTGCGCTAATGGGGCATTAATATAAATAAAAAATGTTTTGACGTTGCATATTAATGAGATATCATCAACTACTCAAATACTAAAAAATTGTTTGTTTAACATTTTAAATTCTTACACGTTTTTATTTAGATTTTTTAACTGACGTATTTTAAGGTAATTCTGTTCATATATATTCACGATTAACACTGACCTGCGTCAACCACAAAATTTCAATTTACACTGCAACCTACATACTAGTATTTAAATGTATATAATCTGTTTATAAAAATATGTTATAAACATTTTCTTAATCTTATCTTATATAAGTCACTTATATTCTATAAATAAATAAGAATGGCTAACAGTAAGCGAAAGTGTTCTACTGGCGGCAAGTTAAAAAGTCTACTTCTACATTATAAATCCTTATCACATTTCTAAGAGCTGATAATACAAAATAAAAATGATTCAGTTTTTATTTCTTTATCACATCAGCTAGAATAGACAACTTTTATGGTGATCAAATATAAAAAGAAACTGTATATCGGTTATATTCTAAGGATTTAAAAATATAATCTAAAAGACAGAATTGATGAGAAAAGTAGTTTCACAAGGAAACAAAGCTCGTAACCACGTTGTTCAATCATGAACATGAATTATTACGTTGTGACCTCCGGCAGAATGTTCAATGATGAACATGAATTTATATATTGAATTATTATAGTTTATTATTATAAATCCATTATCACCTAAATTCTTAGAAATAGTAACATTTTTGAGCATCCGTATCTAAATTATTAAAATAAAATATATTCATAAAAACAATAGGAGGAAAATCCCTAGTGTTAGGACTTCCGTCCTTTTTTAACCTTTTTTTACATCAATAACAAAATGTAATACAGTCCATTAAAATCATATTATTTTAACCTTGATGTAAAAATTAGTCTTAAGATAATTTTGTATAAAAACACAACATTGTTTTAAATAAAATCAGTAACTACAAAATACTCAATCAGTGTACATCAATAATAAATAGTACACACGTAATATTAGCAATATAAGGGATCCATCGAATATAGTATGCGATTATATAATTCAGAGTTTTAGTGAAATAATTAACAATATATTCTAACATTCATATCATATCAATACATTTTGCTTATATTCAAAATCGTATATATTGAAAAAAGAAGCAATATAGAGACTAAGTAATTGAGACTAATTGAAATTAGCCATATAAAAATGATATCGTCTTTGGAAACCTGAACTTATACATACTATTGGCGATAATATTTATAGCATTGATAGACGAACACATATGTGGTCATTAATTATTTAAGTTGCTGAATGATCATTCATTTAATAATTTAAGATATTTAGGTTTAATCATAAAGTGATTTAAGTTAATCTCGTCATGATTTTTAATGATTTAAATCATACTCAAGTCAGTATCATATTTAAGCCATTAATACGACTGTACAATTGACTCTTGAGTTGTCAAACTTATCCACAATTATTCAAATTACGGTTTTCAATACTGGTACTGCTGTCTCTTTAAAAGAAACAAAATGAAAATGAAACATTGCGCGTATGGTCAATGTTTTTCTTGCAACGGGGTTTGAGCTCATGCTAATAACTCCATTTATAGTTCATTAAATTTTTTAATTATTTTTAACAAAATAATATAAATAAGCGGCGATTTAAAAAAAAAATATTTTTTTTTTTTAATTCTTTTAATTCTGTTGAATATTCATTTCAAATATTTAGTCATTTAAATAGTTATTCAACAAAAATCTGTGATAATAATTTCTGAACTGACGTAGTTGTGTATGTTCAAGACATTCAATTGTTATATTTTATTATTAAATACGTTTTCGTATATAAAATTTAACACAAAAAAAAATGAAATTAAATATTATAATAATTTTATCACCAAATAATATATTTTAATTATTTAAAATTACTAATATCTGTTAACTAACTAATATCTGTTAGTATTCCATTTGTAAATTATTTTCCATGTTTTTAAGTATATTTATAGTATTGGATTTTTTTATTTTAATGAAATAATTAATCAAACAATTATTTGCAATAATCAGAAGTCCAGTAAAATTTAATTGGAACGAATTGGATTTGAAATAAATTTCATAATTTTAGAGAAATATTTTAATTAATAAATTTTATTTTGTTATTCTCTTTAATATAATATTAGATATCATTTAAATAACCAATATATATATATATATATATTAACAAAATTAAATAAAGAAATTGGTACTTACAACGCAAGCCTTAACAGACTCCCAAAAGTTTCTCAATAAGTCTTCAATCTTGACGTTTTTTTTTGAAGACACTGCTCAATTGCACTATTTGTCTCGAACAAAAAAAAATAATAAATTATGAAATTTTTTATAAAATATTATAATTTTCTTAATTCGTTCGAAATGATTTCACTGCAATTGAATTGTTAAGCTTATATAATCCAAAAATCAGTTTTTTAGTTTAGTTCAGTAGTGCTTTCTTCCTTATCTTTATACACACGAATACAAACTTCACAAGGTTTTCGAAATCAAAGCTCTTTTATTTATCGGAATAAAATGGCAAAAGTGCAGTTGACAGATTGAACCAGGACTATTTCAATAAAATTGAAGTTTTAATTAAAAAGTCACATCACTGTATTGTAGCTTACAGTCATAAATCGGAACACGTTGTTCTCGAAACTTCTAGTAAAGTTGACAACAGTAGACAATAGTCAACAGTAATTGAAAGATATGTTGGTTTGAGAATAGTAGATCTACGGTGAAGTTGTTACCCTTGCTGCGCCGTGTTACTCGTTTATCCTGTCAAGTATTTATGCTAAAATTAAATTAGTTGTTTTTTGCTATAGTTCCACTATAGGCTCAATTTTTAACTTTATTTCAATTTAATTTTTTTCTTGACTTTATACTGACGATTACGCTGATCTATGGCAAAATCATATCGCGATCTCTGCACATTTTCGCTGTTTAAATTATTAAAATTCACGCCAAATAACCGAAATACTTTTAACGAATACGTTGTGGCAAAATTATTAGGCCGGTTCGAAGAAATAATTAATTTTCTATATCTTATAGATATAAAACGTTGATATAAATATCAAAACTGTTGCACGTAGCGCCAATGGCTTGATATATTTTATTAAAATCCACAAGTGGTATATTGTGAGGATACACTATGCCGCAAAATTGGAACTGCTATAGATTACGTTGCCTGCCGGTACGTGGTTTCCAATGCAAATGATTGATTAGCGATTTGAGTAGGCGTATTTTATTGTTAGGAATTGTATAGAATATTGATTTGACAATAATGCGCTCAAAAATATATTTGCATATGTCAAACTATAGCAAAACCTTTAATATTTCTCTCAATACTCTTCTCTACTATAGTTTCTCTTGATATACGACGCCTTCAATTTTCTGCTCGGTTAATTTAGTCCCTCACTGAAATTGTAGTGGAGTTTTAGGCTTTTAAATCCTATAATAATTAGCTTTAAAATGGGTGCATACAAGTGCGCAATAGGCCTTGCTTTTTGCTCTATTTAGAATTGCTTAACTCTTTTGCTTGCTCTCTCGCTCTTGCACATGCGTTAACTAATCTTACACTTACTCTTTCTAACTCGTTCGCGTTTATATCATTGTTTAACGTTGATAATCTATGGTTGCTTCAAGAAATGTGTGGAAACCAGTCGATATCTCAGCATGTGGGATTTGTATTAGTTTAGTTTTTTAGTTTAAAAGTTTCTCTAACTTAATGCGTTAAAGCCAGTTTGTTCAAGTAATCCATTTAATAAATTTTATAAATTTTTATTTTAAGTACGTGCAAGTCACCTTTACGGTATTTGTGTGCAACGTAACACACTAATATTTTTCAAAATTTTTTTATTATATATTTGTATTGCAATTAATTACAAATATTTGTGGTTTTTTAATTTTTATTTTTGTTTTGATTTATTGTGTTTTGTTAATTGCTTAAATACTTTAATATTTAATGTATTTTCGTAATTATTTTACTCGTATGTCACTCAACTCTCCAAAAATTTCTTTAAATGGAGAGTGAGTAAGGTCGTTTAGTGCAAAACAAAAAAAAACTTTTTATCTATTAAATTTTTTCGTTAGTTTTTCGTATTTTAACAAACACTGCAATGTGTGTAGCTGAAAATCAATAATGAGTAATAGCCGCTATTACAAAAAACACTGCAGTAGTCTTTTAATTTTTTTTCCAGCAAATACTGTTTTTTCAACACGAATTTACTTTTTTATACACTTAATATTTGTAATTATTAGATATGAGTATTGACACCGCGTTTATAAAACTTTCCGCTTCGTTTCGTAGCACGTCGTGACGTTCCAAAGAATCCAATGAATCTGAAAATAGCATATAAAATGTACATGTTAAGAGCATTTCAACATACAAGAAACACACAACACAAAACACAACCAACTACAACAACAATTCAGTCTTATTACAAATTTTGACAACTGTAGTGTTGTGCTGTAGTGTTGTTGCCTTTTGCTGTATGGATAAGTATGCGTGTATGTATATTTACTCACGTTTCTCTCACGTTTTTTTCTTATACACAGCTTTTGCTCTTTGAAGCCAACACAAAATATGTGTATTTAGTTTTTAGTATTTAAAAAATGTGGACAATAAATAGAGCAGCTTTTATTGCGGCATGCCAAGTTTAAAAACATATTTTTTCCATTTGTATTTTTTACTTTCAAAACCATTCAAAACATCTATTCAATCCAAAACGTTTATCTCAAAACGTATGCTTATGCTGACAAACATGTGTGTTATTGCCATAAGTAAATTCCTTAATATAATATTATATTTTTTATTGTTTATTACTACAATTTTATAATAATTATATTATTTCTACTTCAAAACTACAGCATGTAATTTAATTGTACAATTTCAATGGGTGTGTTATGCATTATGCTCGCTATTGGTATTGTAATAGCATACTCCATCGTAATGTTCACAAGTACGCAATCAGAGCAGACATATAAAGAGTACAAAACGTTTCTCTTTGTTATTGTTGGCTCTTTGTATTAAATCCTGCCTACTCTTTAAAAGTGGTCATTACTGTTTCGTGTTTTGCTGAAGAAATCGGTAGTCACAAAGTTCATTCTATTTTATTGTATTTCCTTCTTGAGTTTTTTATAGCATTTATGCTTGCATTTGTTCATCAGTTTGTTGCATTGATCTGAAATGAATAAGTAATGAATAAAATTAATATAATGTATCATAATTAAACAATGTTTGTGCACTTTTATAGACTCAAGTATTTTAATAAAATAAACATTTTTTTCATAGAATAATTTCTTTTTTATTATCTTCTAGATATTAAATAATTTGCTTGGAATAATTAAAATCATAAATATTATTCAATTTTCTTATTAAGTCTAACTGCTTAGTATATAGAACAAATTCTTTGAAACATATAAGATATATTAATTTAACGTATAGTTTTTATAACTTTTATATATTGAAGACGACATCGTATTACAAATAACTGAACCACCTAAAAAACAATTAAAATATTATTATTAAGTTAAAATCCAGCAAAATGACAGAGAAAAATTGAATTAAAAATGAACCCATTTAAACAGATTTACACGCATCAAGTTAATCAGTGAATTAGTAGAGATTGTAGAGATATTTTATGGGCATTATTAGTCGATAATTATTAGTCTACTATTAGTGTAGCATAATTTGAAAATTCTATATCGAGCAAAATTCTGATAAGTTCATACAATTACATATATCTCAAAAAGTAAAGATTAGTCGTATATATATACATATATATTTGACACTCTTTTTTACCACATATTAATATAATATATTGAATACAATATAGTGGTATTGCAATCTATTAGAAATCATTCAGCGAGTGGCGCAGGAGTCATGATAGACCTTATGACCTCCCTCGTCATCATTACGATAATATGAAGAATTAGGGAGCAAATAATGAGAATTTCATTGAAGTCATATTAGATGATGTAGTGAAAAACTAGTAATGCAAAGATACATATTGGAGAGATGGAAAGATTAGAAAGAAAAACCATGTATAGAAAAAAATTTCATTTTTTCAAGAAAATAAATAATATCAAGGTAAAGAAAATTAAAGGAATCTTCGTAACATTGATAAATATATCAGGACAAAATAACTTTCATCACAATACCACCATTAAAAACTTGTCCGGCCGGCCGACTCTGTCAGGACAAAGGTCTGTCAGATAATTTAAAATAATTTTTATCTTTTATTGAACATTCAGAATGAATTCATAATAAATATACATATCTATATATATAGTCCATCGATTCATTTCGAAATGGATTCTCAGCACCTACTACACCCCTAATTGTACTCCTGATATTTTCATGTCATACTCATATAGTTAGTGGAAATCAAAATCTAAATCTAACCGAACGATGTTTACACATGCAAAAACAAATCATTGTTCATAGCTCTGTTCCGTATTTTTAGGGTGCTTATTTTTATTAAGAAACCTACTGATACGAAAGTGAATCCCATGGGCTCATCACGTAATACTAAAGTATGGCCTAATCTGCCATTAGTCGACAATATTTAAGGTTGCATCGATAACTGTTAGATAGCCTTAAGGGCGTTATAACTCCTAATTGATCTATTTTTTTTAGTGAGCTAGAAATGAATCTCATGGGCTCATCACGTAACACTAAAGTATGGCATAATCATGACATCAGTGGAAAACACATTTTTCAGGTTGCATCGAAAGCTTTTGGATCGCCTTATGTCGCCTTAGGCTTGTCTTCACGCCAAAGGCGTTAGGTTTTTGAATAAAAAAACTACGGTGATAAAAGTTCGTATGATAAGGTAAGATTTAGGACTCTGAAAACATTATTGAAAACTGAACATTTATTTTGCATACGTGACGATTTGCTTTACAGTATTTGCTCAATAGAGGATGTTAATTGATATAGTAATTAACAGCCGTTAAAACAAATACTAAATTCCTTCTAAAAGAAAGAAAGAAGGCCCTGTATATATAAATTTAACTTTTCTTGTTGAGTCATTTAAAATAATCTGTTTGTTGATTTCCAAAAACGTTTAATACGATTTAATAAAAAATATGTTTAGTACGAATTTATTCGCAAAACAGCTGCGCAGTGACTTTATTTAGGTAAAATTGTATAAACTATTCCAGAAACACTGAGAATGTGTAATTCAATCCTTTGATAAATCAATGCACATGTATTACATAAAACAAGTCAAATAGAACAATGCTTTTTGTTTATTTTAAAAAATCTTAACAAATTACTTTTTGTATAGGACATATGCGAAATTGGAGACCCTACAAATTACGATAACTCTCGCACTTACATAATTTTACATAAGTAATGAAATACTACTTTTATATTAATAATTTTATTTTTATAAATTAATCGTTCTGAAAACTTGAATTAGTTACGATGGGTGCGCATATTAAGTATCTGACGATAGAGTAGAATTATCGTTTTTTCTTATGGTGAACTATATCAGTAGCATGTAGGGTTTCATTATATAAAAAATACCGACTCTTATTTTACATTTGAGTAATTCCAAACAATTAATTGCAATTGATTTCAATTTACATGAAACATTTCTGTATTGTTTATTTGTTCTTTTGAAAAAATGCAGACAGAAAAAAATACATATGAGGTGTTCTTAGTAACAAAGTAGAATAAGTCCATTTATAAATTTATGATATAAAAAATATTTGACTGTGAAGGTAAAGTTATTCGAACTGAATCACTATTCTATTAAAATTCTTTGTTTATATATACAATTACTTTGAATTACTGTAAGTGGGACTACTTAAAAATTCAATTAAATATTATCATACATCAATCATCAATCATTGTTTCAATGATTTCATTCTGCAAGTTAATCAAATTATTTTAGCTTTAGTAAATCTTTTGTAAATCAAATTTAAATAATATAACTAAATATATAGATAAACTCGAAATATCTAAATAGTATTTTCAACTACTTTATTTATCAATTAAATTTATTAGTACATATATGTATGTAGTATGTATATGTATATGTATATATCAGAATATGTATCAATATATATTTACAAAGCCATATGTTACCATAAATGCAAAACGAAATTACTTGTTTGTAGATAAATGTTTTGGTTGAAATACAAAAACTTGAACATTGCAAAAATTTCATAAAAACAAAAGAGTTCATTCATAAAATATTCAGCAAAAGATACTTGAACATGAGAAAAAGATGTGGGTTGTTGCTTACATATTGAAATCATAATCATTTCGTTAAATATAATATAACATATAACATGACATACATATACATAAATAAATATAATATATCTCTAATACAAACGGTGTTTTCGATATATTCGCATACGAGAAACTATAGCTTCTGCTAGCTTTATAATGAGGACTACAGAAGAACAGTGAATGATGAATGGAAAACTGTTTGGAATTTTAATAAATTTAATCTCAAATTAAATTAAAGCTGAAATTTATTACCTTCTTAAATTAAAAAGTAATCTATGTTATAATAATAATAATCATCTGTAGAAAGTTTATAAATCTTCGATAAAAAAGATACTATTTTCTTTTACAAATGATTAAAAATAATCTAATAATCTATTTAGCATCTACTTTTTACAAACTCATTTTGGCAATTGTACATATAATGCGTCCAGATGTTTTCTACTCGACTCATTCAAAGAATGAATTATATTTCTATGTTCCTTAAGCATGTTTTCCTATGTCAACAATCCTTTAAATGCCTTTAAATTTTAAAAATTTCTAATTTTTCGTTAATCATCCCCTGAATTACTTAATGCTTCAGTATTATTATGTTCACTGATGATACTTAATATTATTGTTATTTTGAATCATTATAAAAATAGTAATAAAATAACAAATAAACTTAAGAACTAACTAAACCAAATACTGGAAAAATATTTAGAAGTTGCTCTATCAATGAAAGCCTTTTAAGATTGGATTAAAATGTATAATAATTGTTAAGTAATATACATAAAAAGAAACAAAAATTCGATTTTTAATTTATTTTTATTTTAACTATATATATATATTATAAACCATATAAACATATATTTCATTATTTAAAGTATTAAACAATGATTAAACAAAACGTTGAATATTTAATAACATATCTATAACAGAAAATTTCGCGATTGTATGTTAAGTACAGAAGCTCTTACATTCCCGTACTCCTGGCGTAATACTTGCTTCTTCTTACTCTCTACACAGTGTACGTAATTCTTATTAAGCAATGTACAAATATTGAAATTATAATTAACAAGCAATTATAAGCCAAATTACATATACAATAATTGCGCACATAACAGCTTAATATGAGTTTCTGTTAGCTAATTGTGTGAATGTTACAGCAGATATTGGATGACGGCTTTGCGGGTGCGAGTTCGAATGTGTGGGAGAAACGAATTACCATTAATTGAATTAGGTTTTCAAATTAAATGCGCAAGAAGCCCACTAAATGTTATTTAATATGAGCGAAATGTGGCAATAGAATATTTAAAATTACATATATAGAAAATAAAAAATAAATAGTAAATAAATAGAAATTGTTCAAAAACAAATATATTAACAAATTTAACTATATTTAACTCAAACAGAAAAAAAAGAGATATTATCTTTTAGAAAGAAATTTCTACAAATTTTCTAGATATATCTTATAAAACTTATGAATAAATTTTAAAAAATTTTGTACATACATTATATTAAGATAATATAGATAGTAATTACCTGCCTATACTTATAATTGATAAGTATAAGCTAAGAAATGTGTTATATGTAATTAACCTGTATTTGTTATAAATTAGCGATAGGATAGTGATTGGATGAAGGGTTTGGATGAAGTAAAACCTAGATGCTGAATATATTATTAAATATGTTATTAAATTTATATTTATATATCATTAAATATATTCAGCTGAATCTGAAAATGTGAAAAAGCGAATTTGCCGAAATGCGTATAGAAATATACAAAAAATATGATCGAAATAAAATTTGAAATCCTAAAAAACAAAACCGACTTTATGATAATAGTCCCTTAGAGATATTAGCTCACAATAAATCTCTTACAGTGTCACTAACTAGTACTTTTAATATCGCTGAGGTCTATGCATTGCACTTAATGATTAAACAATTTAACCTCTC